GGTCACCTACACTTCCCGGGCCTTGTGCTGTGTTACCATCTCCCTGTTGAAACCACATCTCCTCATTCGCTTTCTTCACGCCGTATTTTCCAGTGTTCTCCCTTCACGCAAAACTTTTCTCCCCAAAGCAGTGTGGCAGGCCAGAGACACATGGCGAGTGAGGGCAGAGGGGCCTGTCCTGCCCAGCCACACCTGGACCCCCTGCATGCTTCAGGGTTCACCGTCAAAGCATGCAGGGGCAGCTGGTCCAGAAGGAAAGCGTGCGCTCCCTGAGTCTGCATCCCATGTGCTCCTGGAGAAACGTGGTTGGTTCTGACATGAACTTTCAAAAAAAGTCTGCGTCAAGTGTTTTGTGTTCTCCCGCCTCTCCTTCATTGGAGGTGCAGTTTTTGGAGCTGTCTCAGGAGGTGCGGCACTATGGGTGCTTACAGCTGGATCCCTGTACCTGCGACTACCCAGAACCCGGCTGCCTGGTCACCGTTTCTGTCGGCAACAACGCCATCAGCTGCCACATAACCCTGCCCGATGAGCAGGCCCGGGACGTCATTTTCCAGATGAACAAGGTCAAGTGCTGGCAAGTCACTTTCCTTGTGAGTACCTTGGTCCTTTGCCTCTGCCTGTGGCTTAAGAGTTCTCCGCTTAGAAGACGAGGTCCCTGCAATGGTGACAAAGGGCTGGGGGCAGAGAGGGAATGGGAGTTTTCCCTGGAGGGCGGGGGACGGAGTTTGTCTTTGGGAAGAAGCCTCGCTTTGGGAAGCGATAGTGGTGACTTTTGGATGTGATGGTGGTGATGGTAGCACAACGTGGTGGTGAAACAACTGGATTGTGCACTTCATGATTCACGACACGCAGAAAAGTGTTTGCCTTCTTATCTAACGAATCACCCTCTGGAGATGGCTGCTAAGGAAATCATGAGGCAGAGGTGTGAGGAACATGGATGTTTACCTTCGCGAGGTTTGTCATATTAAAAAGTTAGACGTCTTCCCAATATCTGAAACACCATTTCTCCTTTCTCCAGACTCCCTCTTCCCTCCTCTGTTTTTGTGGCCCGCCCCTCTTTCTGACTCCTCCTGATAGGGTGCTGTTTCTGGGGTTCCCATGTCTGCCATCTTTCCTCTCTGCATTCTCTGCAGTCAGTCACTCGGGTTTCTCTCAAAGGGCCCAGTATTTCCTAAGCCTTCTGGACAGCTTCACTACGTGTCTCACAGGTAAGGTCAAACTCAACCTTTCCCCAAACCGGACTCACTTTTCTCTTTTCATCTCTGCCCCCTGGAGCGCTCCCTTCTGTACTCTTTAACCTGATTCATGATTACATCCACCATCGGAAGCCTTGAGATTCTCCCCACCTTTTCTTTGATGTTCGATGCTGTTTGATTGCTAACGAACACCCATCCATTCTAAACCCATAGAACAGAGTCTGAAGCACAATGACCCCATAGGACAGCGGTTCTCAACCTGTGGGTTGCAACCCCTTTGGGGGTCGAACGACCTTTTCACAGGGGTTGCCCGATTCATAACAGTAGCAAAAGGACAGTTATGAAGTAGCAAAGAAAATAATGTTATGGTTGGGGGGGTCACCACAACATGAGGAACTGTTTTAAAGGGGCGCGGCATTGGGAAGGCTGAGAACCACTGCTATAGGACATAGAACTGCCAACTACCTGATTGAGTTTCCAAGTGGGTAGATCTTTATGAAATCAGAATGCCACTGGTTCTCCCATGGTGCGGCTGCTGAGCCCACACCATGTAAGCACTGTGCCACCAGGGGTGGGGGCTTCAATCCACTCTCTCACCTGGCTGTTCTCTTATCCAGGCCCCTTTGCCTCCATCTGCACACCTCTGGTGGTTTCAACACTCCCCGACTCGATGCGTCTAACAGCCTTCTTGTGTCTTTCCCTCTTGGGATCAGAACATAATTTGTCAGATTTCAGTCCTTTGACATGTAAAACATGGTCAGGAAGATGGTCAGGCTTGATCAATGTTCCACGTGTGCTGGGATGTATAGCCTTCTGCTATTGGGCGGAATTATCTCAAAGGGTCAATTAGGTCAAGTTCTTGATAGTATCAGCAGACCTTGTTTCATTGTGTTTTGCTGGACTGTGCTTTGTAGACATTAGGCTTTTTTTGGTTTTTTGGGGTTTTTTTGCAGATTAGCTGTAATTTTGCTACTACTATGAATTGGGCAACCCCTGTGAAAGGGTCATTCAACCTTAAAGGGGTCGCAACCCTAAAGGGGTCGCAACCCACGGGTTGAGAACTGCTGCCTTAGAGACTAAGCCAGGCTCCTTCATGTGTTTGCACTCAGCACATTTGCACTTGCCTTTTTTCTACCAGGAATCACCTGTCACTCTCCCCATATCTACCCCCCTCAAAAAACACCCCAAAACCAAAAACAGAAACCCAAGACCACCACAATAAACTTAAGAGTGTTTTTTTTCTTTTCTTTTCTTCTACTACTTAGAGAGCTTCTTCGACTTCTTAAAACTTCTACTTCTTAGAATCTTGACGCCCTGGTGGTGTAGTGGTTGTGAATTGGGCTACTAAACACAAGGTCAGCAGTTCTAAACCACCAGGCAAGTCCACAGGAGAAAGATGGGGTTCTTTACTACCGTAAAGAGTTACAGTCTCAGAAATCCACCAGGGAAGTTCTACTCTGCCCTGGAGGGTCTCTATGAGTCTGTATTGACTTGATGGCAGTGCGTCTGGTTTTGGGGGGGACCTCCAGGAAGCCATCTTTACCTTTCCAGTACAAGCTAAGTGCCTATTCCATTTGTTTCCATAGGCCTGTGTTTATTTCCCTTCTAAGATTTATTGTATCAAATTGTAGTGACTTCCTTTCATAGCTCCTCAGTAGAGGGAACAGGGACAATGCCACCTGTAGTTTAATAGTATTTTCCCGGGCATAATGCTGATGTGATGTGTGGCATCGAGTCAATTCCAGTTCACAGTGACCCCGTGTGACAGAAGGGCACCGTAGGGTCTCCTGTGCTGTAGGTGATTTTTATAGGAGCACATCACCAGGGCTTGTCTCCCACAGAGTGGCCAGTGGGTTCCTCCTCTGGCCTTCGGGTTCAGAACATAATAGGCACTAATGAATCCATTGAACGTCTGAGAGGAACCTTTCCTCTTCAGGGTACGCTGCTGGATATGGAGGGACCCCAGCAAACTCTCAACCAGGACTTGGAGCTCAGATTTCAGTACAGTGAGGACAGTCGCTGGCAGTGGTTTGTCATTTACACCAAGCAGGTGAGTCCTCATGGCAGAGCCTGAAAGAGTTCTGTGCTGAAGTTCTTGCTTGCTTGCAAGAATGGACAAAGCCCCTTACCCTAACCCAACCAGAAGAGTGTATTGTGGGGTGCCAACTGCAGACTTTGGGACCGATAAAACAACTTTGATTCTTCTTATTTTTACTAATCACCATGACCTTCCTCTCGGTTAGAAATGAATTCAGTTACCAGTCACAGATGACCTAAGTGAGCATAGACCAGGGGGCAGGAAAAATTTTCTTAGAGAAACAAATAGTAAAATGTTTAGGCTTCCTGGACCATACTACCTCTGCTACAACTACTTAGCTCTGTTTGTAGCACAGTAGCAACCATGGACAGCCGATAAACAAATAGATATGGCAGTGTGCCGGGAGACTTTCATTACCAAAAGCAGTTTGGGCTGGGCTTGACCCACAAGCTGTATTGGCTGGTGCCTGGTTATATCATCTCAGTTAATATCAACACTGATGGATGGTTGGGATTTGGTTGTCTCATTAGCCACAACTAGGGCACAGGATCTTTCCTAGCTGCCAAGGCATTTGGGAGTCAAGGACCCAGCAGAGAAGAACAGGACTTGTACCTAGCTTGGAGTCAGCATGATTCATTGCCATGGACTTGGCACTTCGTCATCTCAAATAAAACTCATGCTCTTTTATCAAGGAAACTAACTAGTTAATGATGGTATTTGCTATAGACACATAACTAAAGTTAGAAGCAGAATTCTTTTTAAAAAATCAAATTTGCCAAATATCCAATCCAATTGAAAAGGTGTTTTTTTAATTGGGCTAATTTAAACAATATCAAATTGTTATAAAACCTACTTAAGTTCTAAAGTAGACTTCCAATATCAAAGTAGCCTTTGAATCAACATTATATTCCAGTTCCCACGTAAAAATTCCCTGGTTTTAGGTACCCAAAGCCCCTTTCAACTCTCCAGGGCTACTGCATTTGTGGTGCTGAGATAATAGATATCAAGTTGTCCTGAAACGCACAAAGGACTAGACCAAACTTCCAGGTTAAAGAAATAGGCCCTGAGCTGAACATTCTTAGGGAAATGGTGGGATGCTTTGCTGAGGCAAGATTTGTGGTTACTTGGAGAGATGTAGGGGGCTTGGCAAGGAAATCACCTCCCCAGAAGGCTAAAGTCAATTGTTAGTTTTTATTGTGGTCTTTTAATCTAGTCAGTAGCAAAATGAGTTCAAGCCACTATGGAGAGGGGCAATAAACAGTGTTTTAAAGGATTCCTAATAAAGACTATTTCCCCTGGAATGTGGGTTTATTAAGATATGCCCAAGGGCTACTTCTGCAACACGTAGGAATGTGGTTTGTG